CAGATAGTTCTGACATCACTTTATCATTCTTTGGGAAACACTTGTTCCTTAGCGATGGGGCAGAGGGACCAGGTTTCCAACTCTTGTGGATCTCTCTATATGGTGGTGTGTACCTCCAAAGTGACAGGTCCAGCATTGCTCTCTACTAGGTGCTGGGGGTAGCAAGTGACAGCCACAGTCATAGCCCCCAAGTGATCCAGAACTTCTGCCATCATTTCCTGTCACCACATCCCCATCACCTCTGTGGAGACAACTACTATGTCCTGACCTTCCTGTCCTTGGTATGCTCTTTGACCTCCTCACCCATGTGCAAGGAAGGGAGCCCTGTGGACTGACTTTGGGACCCATAGAAGTCCTTATCTATTGGTGCTCAGAATTCCCATCATCGCTGGGGCACAGCAATAGCCACTTTCCTACAGGGTCCCACATGTCACGTCAGGGGCTGTGATATGCTCAGACTCCCATTTGTCCTACAACTCAGTCATTAGCCTGCACCAGTGGCTCTCTGTTCTGGAGCTTGGACCTTCCTGTCCAGCTCTGGCAACTCCCACCTGGACACCTGCCCTAGCCATAACAAGGTCCCCATGCTTCCATCTTGCCCCTAAGGCCAAATTCAAATAACAGGAAAACCATTTATCCCACCCAGCTTGGAGCTGACCCCTGACTCAAAGGTCCATGTGACCCTTGGACACACCCCTTAGAACCCTCAACCTCCTGCCCCCAGTTAGTCATCCAAAGCCAGGTCCGCTCTCTCTTGTCACCCCTCCTCCCCTGCCCCCCCCACTCCCCATCTGTGTCCCAGCTCAACTGTGCTCTGAGCTCTCTAACCTCCACATGTCAGCTTCCAGCAGAATGGCCTCCCAGAGCTGTCGACTTGCCTGAAGCCTCTCTCTCCTGAGATGCTGTCACCCGTGTTGTTTTCTCTCTGCTGAGTTTCTCGAGGTCTCCTGGGATTTATATACAATGCTTAAGATTTTTGTATTATTTTGACATTATTGTAATGTCATTTTCCTTTTCAAATGTCATTGTTGGCATTATTTCTTCGTATGTGGCTCATCTGCTTTGCATGTTAAGTGGCAGGCTTGAGTGAACAACAGCCTTCTCTGTCACGGTCATGTGTCCCTCCACCTCCCCACCCCCAGGCCCCATTGGTCTCATCCCCACCCCCTGTACTTTGAGGGCTGCTGGCCCGGTATAGACTGTGGTCCAGTGCCAGCCTTCCCAGGTGCACAGAAAACCCCGCCTCCTAACTCCCCTTCCCCTGCACACACACTGGTGGAAAGAAGAGTAATGGGATACTTCAATCTAAGATGCTGGCCTGGCCTATTTTGTTTGGATGGCCAAGCCCTCACCCTCACTCAGCACCAGGCTTGCGATAACACTCAGGAAGCCTGGGCATCCTATGGCTCCTTCAGGGTATGGCACTTTCTGTGGCTCCTCATGTCTCAGGCAGGCCCTTGGGAACGGTAGGGTCTTCTGAGTGCATGAGGGTCAGAAGACCTGGACAAATGGGACTCCCCCTCCTGCAGTGTGCAATTTTGGCCGGTGTCAACTCAATTCCCCTGCCATGGCTAGCTTCAAGCTGTCAAGCCATGCCCCTGGATATACAATGGATTAGCGGTGCTGTCTTCATCCTGTCTCCACAGCCACGTGACCGCAGTGGCTCTCTGCTGTTTAGGACTTTGGAGTCCTGAGATTTCATAGGCTCTTCTGGATCTGTGGGTAGTGACCTGACAGGGCATGGTGGGCCCCACAGAGCAAACGGGGCATTTCCAGCTCTCCCCCAAGAGCTCTGGTCTCCTGTCTTGTCACCCTCCCCAACACTCCTATGTTCCTCATCCATGCATGAGTGGCTGGTGCTAGACACTGAGGTGCTGGTCTAGGAAGTGGCAACTCTGTTGTTTCTGGATGCTGGGCTTTAGAACGCTCTGTTGGCTCTGAGTCTCTGGTTCCATGCCCCCTGAAGAAAGCCCCAAGAAGAGGGGGTGTCCCCTGGCAGGAAGATTCATGGGGCTCTATCTCTGACTCATTTCCCAGAGCCTGTGGGCCCATTGACCTCAGAAGTGTCCTCTGACCACCGTTGACTTCACACCTTTGTCTGCCCTTCCTGGATGCCTCCTGATCTCAGGGCTATGGAACCTGGATGTACACAGTCCTCTGTGCTGAGGGAAGAAGAGTCCATGAGAAGTGCAAGTGGCTTGCTTTAAGTCTCCCAAGGTGGCGGGAGTGGCTGTCTCTGCTGGCGCACATCCAGCATGGGTGCCTGCAGCAACACACGCAGAACCTCAGTACTGGCGTGGCTTTCCCTAGGGGAGTCTCATCAGAAGTCAGCAGGGCAAGGGGCATTGCCGTATCATGCACAGGCACCAGGAGAGGCAGGCATTAAAGATTCTGGAAGCACTTCTGCCATACTGTCGCTGTGAGTGGCTCCCATTTCCCCGTGGAGGGTCACCCAGCTGGTATGTGTTGAGACCAGTGCTATAATCTGGGTTTGAGAGAATCATGGCCATGAGGTTTCTGTAGAAGGTCACGGGGGATTCTGGCATGCTTGCTGTTCTGTGTGGAGGCAGAATAGATCCGTGACCTTCTACGACCCCTAGGCCCAACTCAGGCAACCAGGGAACCTAGATGTACTGGTTCAGGTGTGGCTTCTGGATTCCAGGGCTGCGTGGGCTCCTCCCTGGGCTTGCTTCATCCCTTCAGAGGTCAGCACTGCATTCTGCCAACTTAACAGTTGGCAGGTTTTCAGGCTTGCTGTGTCCCCCAAATCCCTGACCCCAGATCACCGTGAAATGACCACAGTCTCCTGAATCCCATTGGACTTGCCTGGGTGGTCTTGGGCAGTGTCCTAAGTGACTTCCCTTCTGAGTAGGGATCACTGGATCCCAAAGAATCCTGCCTACAAAAAAAGGTCACTCTCCCTGCCCTCCTTACGGCTTTCTTGCCTTGTGGCCTAGGGATTGCCAGCCTGAGAAACTAGTTTAGATACAGTGTGACTTTCCCTTGTCTTCCAAAACTATTCCTGCTGTCCTAAATAAATGGCTTAAGTCTTCCCAGGGCAGAAGCCTAAGTGCTTCTAGTCCCTCCCAGTTTGGTGGAGGCCTCGAAGGCAGCAGCAAAGCTTGCCGGCTGTATGTGGGGGATGAGATGCCTAGGCCTTCCTTGTTAGCGGGTGGAGGGGCCCAGGCCAACCCACAGGCATGTTTGCTCTGGCCAGCAGAGGATTTTAGACTTGCTTTATGGAGCCGTCAGCATAAACACGCTCTAGCCCTGAGTTTCCAGCCCCACTGGAGGGCATTGGAAGGACCGGCAGTGGTTCGCTGTTCTCACAAGGACATTCCTCTTGGGCTGGCTTGTGGCATGGGGGAACCTATCTCCATCAGGTCCACTTTTGCTACCCATCTACCATTTCAAAGGATGTTTTTAGCAAATGAGCCATTTACCAAACCCTGATCCTACAAGGAATTTGGAGGCCATGGGCCCTGACACAGTTCCTACCTGTCTAGATCTTTGCTTGGTGGTGGCACCTGATAGATACCCATGGCCTGTGTGCTAGACGTGTCTGACACCTGTCCACCTGGGCAGCCTGCCAGAGCCCCTGCTCCCATCCTAATCAGGGCACCGTGGTCCCCACCTCCAGTCACTGCATCCTGAATATCCTTCTTCCCACCATCACGGGAAGGGTCTACACCACTTCCAGGTGTGGTGAGGACAGCTGCTCTTCGTGAGGTCCCTTCTGAAGCAAGCAGCATACAAGGCTGCCCTATTGGTCCTTGTCCCTCTGCTGAGCTGCCATTCCTGGCCACTAGGTGAATTTGTGGGTCTGATGGAAGCTGTTTCTGTCACCCGCAGTGGTGGGCTCCTCTCTCTCCTCTTGTCCCTCTGCCATCAACCATGAGGTGCAGGAAGAGTAAACAAGAGTGTGGATTGGGTGGAGTCCCCGTGACTGGGCATAGGAAGCCCGCGCCCTGCCAGCCACAGTCGGCAGTGGGCCTGTGGGTTCCTGCCAGGTGTGTGGAGCATGGGTGTGTGGGAACACATTTGATTAGTGGCCTGAGGAAGCAGCTGGTTCCAGGCTTGGGGGTTGTGTGAGAGTCACAGGAAGGGATAAGGAGAGGCCCACCCTGCCTATCCCCAACTGTAGCTCTGGATCAGAAGCGGTGATAGCAGTGATATGGCCTCAGAGACGAAGAGAGGACATGGCACTTACCAACTCCTGGCCTCTGGTAGGCCAGGCCTATGTGACTGCTGATGTCTCTATGGAAATGTCAGATCAAGAAAGCATGAGAGGTCACATACAACTAGCTGTTAGCAAGTGTCCCTCAGGATCACTGCCAGGACAGAGGAGGGACATCCACTCTGCTCTGGCTCAGGGTTCCTGGGGAAATGAATGAGCTTTGAGTGGTGACTATGGCGATCTCAAGCTGTGCTTTGGGATCTGACTTTTACCTTCATCCACAAGGCTACATCTGTGCATGGACCACCCAGTAGGCAGTTTGTTCACTGCCCCCCACTCCCTCATCTTGCTCAGGCCTGATCAGTGGGGCTCAGGCCCATCCAGGCAAGAGTGCCAGCACACAGGACTCTAGAAATTCTGGCTAGGGCTGCCCATGTTCCTGGATGATGTCCCATCTCAGAACAGTTGCTTAAGAACCCAGGTGTGGCCCTCAGGAGAGAACCTACTCACGCTGCTGGGCAGCCAGGCCAAGCTAGTCTCATCCCCACCCGTGCAATGGTGACCTCTGCACAGGAACTCATGTGCACATCACAGATGTTGGGCATCAGCTGCATGCAAGTCTGGTGCTGGGGCTTGAGACCTTGGTGATATCACAGCCACAGCCATGAGATACTGAAGAGTACACACATAAGAGGCAGGCAGTGGGTACCCCAAGGGACGCTTTCCACTGCAGGAGCACCCATGGGAGGCTATGAGGAGGGGATTTTGTAGCCCCGGAGGATGAGACCATGTTCTTCCATTAGAATAAGGACAGCAAACACCATTTGGAGAAAGCTTTTGGTTTATATAATGCTTGCTTGGTCAGACTCCCCAGAGGCCCTATCGATTCCCAAGATAGAGGTTTTGATGATCCTGGTAGGTCAAAGGGTTCTGGTCTCCAAGGGAAGGAGCTTGAGGACATCTAGAATTGTCTCAACATCCCTGTGAGGCAGGCATGATCCTCCCAGCCTACAGATAGAAAAACTGAGGCTCTGCAGATAAAGGGCCTGCTCCCTAGGGTGGAGCTCTTGCTGTGGCCCATGTCACAGCCATTCCATACCCCTCAGGCCTTCCCCGAAGCTCACCTATCGGGGATGTTCTCCTGATTTTCAGCATACCCCAGACTACTTAGCACCAGGGTGGCTGGAGTCCAAAGGAGAGGACAGATTCCACTTGATGGGACAAGACACAGACAGGAGTGCCATGAAGTCCAAATGCCCATCATGAGTGGTGGCCAATAACCCAGGGCCCTCCCTCAGAGAAGTCCAGAGGCACCCATGTCCCAACTGCACCATTGGGAACCAGCCTGAGAACACCCAACCCCCACCCCAAGCTATTGATAAGTCACTGGCCTGACCAGTGGCAGTCCCCTCTACCCATCCCTCTGCCACTGCTTTGGCTCACAGCTGGGTGTTCCCCCTGCATGGGAGGCCACTGACAGCTTTCTCCAGGCCATCAGCATCACAGCAGGGCAGGAGAGGGCAGCTTACTGGGGAAGGCGTGAGGACTTCCTGCTTAAGGCAGGGGTGACCGTGCTGAGGGCAGAGACAGAAAGGTGAAGTGGTCCAGCATTGGGAAAGCATGGCTTCCAATGTCAGCTCCGCTCAGTCCCAACTCCCTCCCCAGAGCCTCGGATTTTCATCTGTGACATGGTGGTGGAATAGCACCCACCTCATAGGGTCTCCTTGGGAGGCAGAAGCCTGCAAGTGGGACCAGCCTTGGCAGGCTTTGGGTTCTGGTGGCTACAGTCATGGCTGATCTTTGACTTCGGAAGCTGGCTTTTTCCACACAAGGCGTTGGCAGTGCTCCAGGGCATCACACATCTCAGCGGCCTCTGGGCTCTTGCACCAAAAGCTGGGGCCCATGACACACTGATCGGTGCCTAGAAGTGGGACTTTGGGGCTGTGGCAGGCCCCCATCTTCTTGCACAGGTCGTTGGGGTCCATCATGAACCTGAGGCTCTCTATGAGCACAGGTTCATACTCCGCCACGAAACGGTGGCACTGCAGCACGTAGGGCAGCGGCAGGACTCGGCAGCCACCTTTGAAGGCGTTCAGGATGTCCCGCTTGGTGCTCTTGCGGTCCAGATTCTGGGAAGACACACCCAGTATCCTTTTGCACCCCTGGCAGAAGCTTCCATAGTTCTCTTCATCCACCAGCAGGGACGGCGTGGTTGCCTCAGCCCTGGAGATGGACCTGGCCTGCCTTCTGCTGTTACACAGCCTGATGGTCTCACACACTTTCTCTGGGGTGACCCTGCTCACAAGCTGGACCAGGCTGGGGCTGTAGGTCTCCACCAGGGTGACGCACTGCTGCACTAGAGATTCGGGCATTATGGAACAGACTCGCTCTAGGGCGTGGGTGATGAGGGCTTCTGTGCTGTTGGTCATGAGCCATTTGTCCACCTCCTGGATCACGTTCAAGCACACATCGCAGGTCAGGCCCAGCTGCATCTGCATCTCATTCTTCCTCGGCAGCTCCAGCTCCAGAGAGGGGACTCCATTCACAGCGGCCACTTGAGCCAGCCGGTGGGCAGGCTCTCTCCACTCCTCACAGAAGCCCCCATTCCTACAGACCTCCTGTGGGGGGAGAATCTGCAGCGTCTGCTTAGCAGGGACAAATTGCTGGCGGATGTAGTTCTTGCAGAGGTCAGCCAGGCCAGACCCCAGGGATTCACACTGATCCTGGACAGTTACCTCTGCAAAGGTCAAGTTAGACTCTAGAGCACCCTGGAGCCGGGAGATCAGCTTGATACAATCTTGGCATACGGCACCCCCAGGCATCTGTGATGGGTGGAAGCTGAGGGCCCCGTTGGACAAGAAGGGCGATGTCATCTCAGTTGCATCCTCCTGAGTCAGTGGTCTCTCTGAGGTGGCAGTGGCTAGGTACCTCTGTAGTGGCTCACAGAGGGTGAGCGCAGTGCATATCGGAGCCAGGCCAGTGCCAGGGGTTCCACTGAGCATGTCCAGGACAGCTGGCCTGTGGTTGTCCACCATCCACTTGCACTTAGCTGAAGATTCCGGGCTCGGAAGCCACTCACAGGTCTTCATTATCGATGCCAAAATGTCAGCCTCTGTAGCATCTGGGTTCATCCCATTACCAGCAGCTGCTGCCACATCCTGGCACACACGGCAGGACAGGGACTGGACTATGGGCTTGCTCCACACAGCACTCTGGCAGTGCCTCACGGCCTGACACCTCACAGCTGCCTGCAGGTCCTGACACCATACCTCAGAGCCCCTGGCACACTCCTGGGGGCCCGAGATGGGGCTGGCCTTGGCGGCCCCCAGGACACCAGAGAAGAGAATCAGAACACGCAGCATAATGCCCACGGTTCCACTGGCTGCTACCTCTGCTTGGCTGTCCCTATAAAACTAGCTCTCCTGCCTGTCCTGCTCAGCAAGAGGCCCGCCTCCTGCTCCTCCCCAGCCTGAGTCAGCACCCCACCTGCCTGGGCGCAGGCTCCATCCTCTCTGGTTTCTGCCTCTTGGCCTTCTATCTTCAGGGAACACGAACCTCTCCTCCCCTGGATAATCGCTATTTTCAGTCTAGCTTCTTTGGAAATGGAGTTTCTGTTCTGTGGAACAGAAACAAGACTGGAATTCAAGAGTGAATTCCTAGAGGGGCTTATTTCTGACTGGGCCTCATGGCCATGTGCCTACCCCAGATTTTCTTCCCAGGGCCCACTGCGCAGGGGCTGAGTGGACTGTTGACCCCACAGTGCCTATGTGAAGGCTGCTGGCATGCACAGTCTTTCATTCTGGAGACTTCTAAGGGAGGCTGAGCGTGGGCTGGTACCTAGCAGATGTGCATGAGCGCATGATGTTTGCTGAGGCTCACATATACAGAAGGGTTTTGTTTCACTGTTAGGTCATTTGTTATCTTCCGTAATTTCCGAAATAGGCATTAGGCAAGAGCATTGGCGCCGGGCAAACACACAGGTGGACAGAGCCCCATCCTGTTGATTCTATGGAGGATTCTGGAGCCAGACTCACCTGTTATGATTGACATGCAACTCGTCATTCCCACAGGAGTGGGCAGATCAGGGACCCTGAGGGCTCTATGGAAGCCCCACACGCCTTAGTACTGTGAGTCCCACACATGGGTATCTGGGGCTTAGATGCTGGGGCTTTGGGTGCTCAGAGGAATCTACTTCCCAGTTATGTGGGGCGAGCATCCCAGCTGCCTTTGCAACAGCTTTGCAAAGAATGCAGATGGTGCCTCCTGTTGCCCTCCTTCTATGAGGCAGGGCTGCAGAAAGAATATGGAATGAGGTTTGCTGAGCCCTTGAAATGACTGCCAAAGACGCTGCTTCCTTTGGGCCAGGGGAGGGAACAACAGGCTTGGTGAAGTGGTGAGGCTGGGTTCTCTTAGCTGCAGGGCCACTGGAGCCAGCTGGGTGAGCTGTATGCAGAGGTGGGGCTGCAGACAAAGTGCCCTTATCTAGATCTGACTGGGCTGGCCCAGCTGACTCACCCTCCAGCACCTTACCTGGTTGCTGTTTATGGAACACCCACTTGCTTTGGTTTTGGGCTCAGGTATTTTTTCAACCCTACAATCAACTCTGTTTGCCAAATGTGTGACCTGCCATTTGACTCAGTTTTGACACCAACTCCCCGGAGTCTATCCAGACCCTGCAATCAGGGGTTCAGACTGCATACTGGCTTAGTGCTCTCCATTTGCATCTGTGTATCATGGTTCCTATGGCCCTTTTCATGCGCAGAGACTGTTAGGAAGGTTCGTAGAACATAGGCAGGCTCTGTGCCAGTGTTGATCAGTTAATTCCTCAGGACCCAACTCAGGAACCACCAGGAGAAGGTGCCAACAGCAAGAGATGGATGGAACATGGAACCGCTAGGCCCTAACTGGTAGTGTCAGTCTCCAGCCCATCTGTGGATTCTCCCCAGAGCACTGACCCCTCTCAGGCTCGTGAGTGAGGGATGGCTGAAAGCCTCAGTACTACAGGCCCTCTGGTGGGCAGCACTGTCCAGAAACTGCCAAGGATACTAGTTCAAATCACCTCACCAGGTAAGAACAAGTGTGGGCCACTCAGCAAATACTCCAGGCTTAGAGACTCTGTTGTAATTTTTTGATACTGTTTCTAGGAGGCAGTTCAGAGAATGTCTGACCTTCCCAGGCATGCTGATAACATTTATTCTCTCTACATCTATTTTCTTCTTATCCATCCAAGCATCCATCTACCAACCCATCCATCTATCTACCTGTCTATTCATTTAGCTATCTGCCCATCTATCCATTTGTCTGCCCAGTTATCTATCTATCCATCTGTTGTCCACCCACACACCCATTTTCCATCCATCCACCCACACATACTATACATACATACATACATACATACATATCATACATACATACATACATACATACAGCTGCTGTCCATCCATTCATTCATCCATCCAATTATGTCTGTCCACTCATTTGTCCATTATCTATCCACCTGTCCATACATCCACCATCCAACTTTCTACCTGCCTGTCCATCTAGTAGTCTACTCATATATTCATCCAGCTACCTACCCATTTTCCATCCATCCATCCATCAATTCAACTGTGTGTCTGTCTATCCAGTTATCCATACATCTGTCCATTTGTCTATCCATCTGTCCATCCAATTTTCTGTATGTCTTTTTAATCTACCTGTCCATCTTTTCATCCATCCATCCATGCATCCATCCTGTCTATCATCCGTCTACCATTCATATATCTGTCTGTCCATATGCATAAATATTTACATGTAGTGTGTCACAATGCTGTGGGAGGCTGTGGGCGAAGGCATTGTGTCCCTTTGCCCATTTCTTCCGTGTGTCATTGCTAAGAATGAGGACATTCTCTCCCATAACCACAATACATTTATCGAAACCGAGAGCTGCGGTGTTGATCCAGTGTTATCCACCCAACACTCAAGTCCTAACTTTCCAGGTGCCAGAGCTTATCTCCCAGGTCTAGCTTTACCCAGTCACATGATACACTCACTGCACACGTTGCTTTGCTCACGTCTGTCTGGAGTCTTAGTAGCCTGGCTTTATCTTCTGTCAATCTGGGTCATAGACGGTATTGGTATTATTGCCCAGGCCCTTCATTGGTGATGCTTCATGATTCTCCAAGCCGGGTCCTATAGTGGCACCCTTCTGCATAGCCCTGGGTCCTCTCAGGGCATTAGACCCAGAGGCACTTGAAACTGGTGTGTCTCTGTACAAGAAAAGCTTTCTCCTCTCTCTTCATCCATCCCCTTCTGCTTTCCTTATCTTTCTTTTTCCTTAAAAGAAAGACTCACAGCTTTTGATTTTATTTTTACTGTTCTTAAATCTGACTTACTGTGATTTTGAGCTATCATTTGTGAGTCTTAATCCACTTGCATCACTGGCTGCTCTTGATGCACAAATAGCTTCAGTCTTCTCTCTTCCAGTTGTCCTCATCACTCCTTGAGCCCCTCATGTCCAGCCATGGCGCCACCCCAGATTCAGTTTGTTCTTTCCTCAGTCAGCACGAATTCAGCTTTCCCTCCAAGGAAAGTATTTAGAAACCATATCTGAAGTCAGTTGAGCCTGATGTGCCACTCGCATTTCCAGTCTCTCATTGACACAAAACGATACTCCACTTATTAGTGAGGAAAAGAGGATGAAGGCGGAGGAAAGCAAGGATGTGTGCTTATGGAACCATAGACACATGTTCATAAAATACTGTTCACCTGTGTGCACATAGTGCATGTGACATATTTATCCATCCACCCACCCACCCACCCACCCATCCATCCATCCATCCACCCATCTATTCATGTATCAACCCATCCACCCATTCAATCACTCAAGTGTCCACCCACCTACCCTCCCATCCATCCATCCATCCATCCATCCATCCATCCATCCATCCATCCATCCACCCATCCATCCACCCATCCACATGACCCATTTTTGTGAGCCCCTTTGCTCATATGAACACTTCTGTGCAGCAGAGCACAATCCAGCTGCCCTCTTTTAAATGTTTGGACCTCCCTTGCCGAACAGTGAGAAGCCTAGCTCTTATTATTCTTTGTGTATCTATGCACTCTCAATGCATTTTGAAAGTTAGTTTCAGAAGCACTAGCCCCTTCCATTGTGAAAAGCAAAATCTGCTAACTAGAATTCTATAACTGTCGACTGGAGTTCATTCTGCTGAAGCAGAATTTACAAACAGCAAAGTGCATACATCTTAAGTGGGCAGGTCAGTAAGTGTCTACCAACACACGTGTTCCTTTAAATCATGCCTCAGTCAGGATTCGCAGCCCTTGCTTACGCCTCTTCCCAGTTGTTCAGCTTTCCTCATTGTTTCCTGCCATGGAGTCATTTCCACGGCTGTGCTCTTGTATTCACACTTAACCACCACGCTCTTCCTACTGCATAAGGTCTGGCTGTGCTTTCACAACTGTCTGCAGTTGGTTCCCTTGCAAGGTCACGCCAACAATGCATTCCTACAGGAATCTGAGTATCCACCCTAGGCTGACATGTCTGACTTTTGGTATGGGGTTTCTGGTCCCCTGGCACTCTGAGCATACTTGGCGGGATGATGTAGGCCACGCAAGTTTCTGTAGGTTGTGTGCCAAGGCTCCTCTCTGTTGAGTGTCAACTCTCCTGAGGTGTTCTGAAATGGCTGCACCTGCTGCCGCCACCCAGCACCACTGGTGCCTGTCCCTCTTTGGGGTTCTGATTTCAGCCCTTCAGAGACGATGAACAAATGCTCACTTAACCCCCACCCCCACCCCACCTTGCAGTTTAACAGTCCGTTGTGGTTGTTGAGGTTTTTAGAAATACTACTTGCTCCCAAAGCTATTAAAACAGCATTTGTTTTGTATTCCCAAGTAAAGACTGGTCTGGTCTGGTGGCAGCGGCATGTAGGCAGGTAGCTGGGGGCCACATTGTGATGAATCCCTGACCTGAAACCTGGGCCAGGGGAAGCAGAGGAGGCTCGGTGGCCTCGCCCTTGTGGGAGGGCTGCTGTGGAGTGGTGGGAGCTTTCTTGTCACTTGATGAGTAAAGAGCATCCTAGGATGCTAAGCCGGGCGTGACTTCATATGTGGCAAGATTCCCCAACTCTCACACTCTGCTCCCCGTGTCTGACCCGCCCCTCACCTTCGTGGTGTCATCGCCATCGGACTCCATGAGGACAGCAAGGAGGGAAAGGAGCTGCCCCGCCTGCTCACTTGCTGTTCCCACTCCTGCTCTGGGGTGATGATGCCACAGCCCGTCTTCTTCTGGAATGTGGGTCCCTGACCATATTGCCCTCCACTCCTCCACCCCAGTCACCCACCAAGACACTCTGCTCTCCCTCTCTCCTCACTTCTGTCCTTCCTGGGTCTTCCTGTCCCCTTCCCAGGACTCACCTTCCCTGTCTAGTCACGTATGGACCAGAAGGTGGGATTCACCAGTAACTCATTTCATGTGTATTCC